GCTACATTCTCTCCACCTTCAACATGAGGAGGCTAATAATAAAATCTTAAAAAAAAAAAAATAAAGGCACCAAACTCGGAGTCAGAAGGCTTTGGTTCAAGTTCCAGCTCTGTCACTAACTCTGTGACCTTGGGCACATCTCTCCCCTACTCAGAGCTACATTCTCTCCACCTTCAACATGAGGAGGCTATAGGATAGGTGGATAATCTCCAAAGTGCCTGCCAGCTTCTGGACTGTGTGGGGCAACATTGTTTCCCAGTTTCGGCTGGTTAACTAGTGTACAGTCTCAGTCTCCTTCTCTGTATGGGAAAGTTGATGCATTTGGAAAGACACTTTCCGTGCCCACAAGTGTCCATCACTCTGGCCAGCTAACTTGCAGATAACGTTGTGGTGCTCATATGGAGGCACCGGGGAGCCATAGCATACAATAGAGGGCAGGAGTTGTGGAAGCTGCTTAGTAGATAATAGTTGAGGCTGACAGGGAAATACCATTTTTGCAAAAGTGTTAATTGGTATTGGCTCTCCTGCTGTCCCTGGGGGATATAGTTTCATTAGCAAATATATGGCTCGAATGTACATGTCTTTCTTCGGAGGGGGGCGGGCGGTAGCCCACCGTGCCTAGGATTTTAGGGTTGTTTTTAATACCATGCCCAGGATTTTAGTGGTGTTGTACCAAGCAATAGATCCGGAGAGCCGAGGGGCCTGGGGTTGTGACCGTGACTCAGCTAGTAGGGCAGGTAGCCTAGCTTCTTGGGCCACAGGTTCCAAATCTGCAGTCTGGGTGTGGCCCTCGGAGAATCAGAGCTAGCAGCTTAATTTCCATTAGCACGGAGTGAAGCCGTGCCTTCTGTACCACTGGGCACTCTCGGGCTTGAGAAACAGCAAAGGCTTCCAAGCAAGAATATCAGATTCACAGGGGCTGTAGGTATGTGTGTGTTACCAGTTTGTGTTGTCCCTTCCTGAAGGCCTTCAAGGTTTGTCCAGGAATATCCTCCCCTAGGTTAAGGTTACTATGAATAATACAGCCCGTTATTCACAATGCGGGAAGAACATATGCACTTGTAATGGCCCAAACAGTGCTGTTGGGATGAATGAATTTACCCTGGATCTGTATAAACTATCCAAGGAAAGCCCCACCACATTTACTTCCTTTCTAATTCCTCTACTCGCTCCTTCGTGTGGTAAAAAAAAAAATGTCTGATGCTTCTACTATCTGCGAAGTCCCCGATGCCACGGCTGAAAATGTTCTTTTTTTCTTTAACGCAGGTGACTTTGATGAAGATCCCTACTGTTTCTCTCCCTTGAGTTGTGAAGTTGTGCCTAATTATGTGGGAAGAATATTACCTGTGGAAGTCAAAATGAATTCCACTCACAAAGATTTCTTGACTAATTCCCAGCAGAGATACCCACCTCCCCCCAGCCCCAGATTAGGGAAAATGTTGAGTTTGTGAAGCCATCTGCTCCGACTTTTATTCTAAATATTATTTTGGAAGGAGCAGAATGAAATAGCATCTAGTGGATATTAAAGTCAGAATAATTCTCCTATTCATTGTTATAGCTGTTTCTTTCTTTTTCTAGGTAAGATTTGAGCCTACAGTTATGGTATATTCGGGAACACATGTCTACAGCACTGGAGATTTTGTTTCAGAAACTCTAAGTGTCCTATCCTGAAAGAAAAGAATCAACATCAGGGTCCTTAACTGCACTGGGAATGAAATAATTTCAGGTGGCCAAAGTTTTTGGATCCCCAGTTGGCTTGACACCCACAGGGGAAGTAGGAAGAGTCACAAGGTCATACCTTTTGGGAAAAAATATCCTGTTGGCCTGTCATGACAAAGCATCTGAAATCCCCATTATTCAAGTCACTCTTTGATTGAATCCCCTTGTTGACATGTAAACATGTTTTGTGAGGAGGGTGGCTCCTCAATCCAGAGACACCAGTGATCTCCTTAGTGGGGATGGATTTCTCAGCCAAGACAGCCCCTGAGGGGACAGTGAGCAGGGTTCTGAGGAATGTAACGAGCAGTTGCTGCTTGAGGCTGGTGGTTCTCTCTATGGAGGAAAGGACAAGTCAGGGGGAGCGGGAGAGTGCTGGGGTAGAGGTGAAAAAGAGCCACCCAGAGGCAACAGAGTGAGCGCGGAGCATGAATTCTGCCTGTTTTTTGCTCTGTGGCTAAGCTTGATGCTGTGTGGCCTTCTTAATCCTCTCCCAAATATTGCTACTGAGCCTTCCCAGCCAGGCAGGTTGCTCACATATGGCCTTGGGTAGCAAGGAATAAAGAGATAAACACTTTGGAAGGATACACAAGCAACTGGTATCAGTGGTGGCCTTCAGGAAGGGGAACTGGGTGTCTGGGCAGAAGGGAGACTGACTTTTTGCCCTATGCCTCTTGATATCTTTTGAATATTTTACTGAGAGAATATATGGCTCTTTAGGCAATAAATGGGGGATTGGGCCTTTCCAGTGAGAAAGAGCTGGCTTCAAATCCCAGCTTTGTCACTTCTTGCAGTTGAGACCCAGGGAAATAACAGTAATAGTACATTCGTTATAGAGTTCAAGTGAGACTTACACGAAGGCTACGCATTTTCAAGCACAGTGAAACACAGTACCTCTTAACCCCTTTCTCTTTATAACCCACTAACCCTCTTACCTTGATCGCCTTGTAGCCCACCGACCGTATTTGCCCCATTAAAGTTACCACCTTGGATCCTGTAAGCAAGAGTTAATGCTGACTACTAAATGGACCGGAGCACTGGTGCCAGTCACTGGTATGAAGCTCATAGACTCCCCTTGGCCCCCTCTACCATCTGAGGTAATATAAAAAACGTAGGCAGGCCCTTAGGCCCCCAGATACCTGCCTCAGAGTCAATCCCCTTGCCTACGAAATTTTGCTCTTGAGGTAATCCCACAACCATGGTTCTCCATAGGTCTGTCCGTGTATTTTTTTTTTGTAGGGGAAGGTGAGTGTGTGAGTGTGTGCGCATGCATGCATGTGTGTGTGTGTGTGTGTGTATGTGTGAGAGGACTAACAGAATGAACAAACTGTGTCTTGAATGTTGGAAAATGTCTTAGAACTGACAATATTGTCACCTTCATTCAAAAAACAAATTTAGGGACAGGACTTGGGTATAATTAGCAAATCTACAAATATATACATTCTGCAAATGCTTTGACTTGGGGGGTCATTTTGGCTGTGAAAATGCCCATGACTGTTCTGCTCCTGCTGGAGCGATGAATGTACAGCCGTCTCTAATGACCTGACATGCTGTCAAGAACAGAAACATTTTATAGAAAAGTTCATGATTCCTGTCATGACTCCTCCTACTAATGAGTAAAACATGGGTTTTCCACAAATTAGACAACAATTTGAAATTATAGGAAAGATTAAACATCTTTCAGGCATCCTTTGGTTTGCTCTTCCTGTGTCCCCAAAATGGCTGACACTTGTGTGAAGGCAGGCCCACATGATTATGGAAGAGACCCTAGAATCTTTGTCCTGCTTTCAGTCAACAATCCACCCCCAAGTATTCATTGAGCCATGACATGGAGAGAGCCAGATGTGCCATCCGTAGGTCACTACCTCCAACAGCTTACTGTCCACTTGAGGAGACCAGATACACACACTAGAAGAGTCAACGATTGAAGCAGCGAGGTTATGGTGGAAGAGTAGTGCTTCACAGGCAGTAAATGATGCAGTTTTTAGTCAGGCTGAAGGTGGGGTATTCTAGGTTTGGAGGGGGACAGCTTCGGTAAGGCAGGATTTCATTTCTCAATAGCACAGGCAAATGTTCTGTATGAAGTACACGTCAGAAAATTCACAAAGCCCCTTTGGAGCTGCAAGGCATGGGCTCTGCCTTCTGATTCTCTGCTGTGTCTTAGGCACCCTGCGGGCAAGCTTGAAAACACTGAACAGTACTACACTTTATCTGGACCAAGTTTGAAGAAGCTCCTGCCTAGTACCTGAATCTTTACTTGTTTTTTTTTTTTTTCCCCAAGATTTTATTTATTTATTTGACAGAGAGAGACACAGCGAGAGAGGGAACACAAGCAGGGGGAGTGGGAGAGGGAGAAGCAGGCTTCCCGCCGAGCAGGGAGCCCGATGCGGGGCTCGATCCCAGGACCCTGGGATCACGACCTGAGCCGAAGGCAGACGCTTAACGACCGAGCCACCCAGGCGCCCCAATCTTTACTTGTTTTGTCAGAAGTCCCAAAGGTGACGGTGACCCTCTGTGATGGTCTGCCTCCCCTGAACCCAGAAACACAGGGTAAGAGGAGGTAAGGCTCGTCTCTTTGACAGCTCAGGCCTATCGTTAATAGATGTCTTTCTGGTTCTGACCCTCAAGCATTTAGGGGACATGATGAGTCTGGAGCAATAGAGAAAGGACCTAGTTATACTTCTGCTGATTAGAGAATGAGATGGATTAAATTCATTCTTATAATGTCTGGCACCTCATAGGCCCTCCGTACATATTCATCATACACATGGATGAATGAATGGTCTATAATGCAGAGTATAGGAAAGCAATGGCTGACTTCCTTATCTAGGGTTTCTTATCTTAGTGCTAAGTAAACCTATGTTACCCACCATATGTGAGCCCCATGAGGGCAGAACCCTTGTCTGTCTTGTCAATTGCTCTACAGCCAGTGCCTGACGCACTGTTTCAGTTGAGGCTCTTATTTCTTGTCTTTAAATTGACAATATTGTCAGTTCTGGTTACCCAAGGGAAAGGGAATTGGTGGAATGGGCTTGGGGAACTCAAATAATTTATGGGAAGGTTAAAGAATAGGGCTTGAAAAAAAGAGGTCTGCAGATCAGGAACCATAGGGGTCGCTTCCTAGCCAGGAAACATCTTGTAAGGGCATCAATCCTGGGAAAAATAAAGACTAATTTCTTCCATCCTCATGTTGTCAGCTTAAGATTCAGAGTCTCACGAGACTGCTTCTGATCAGCTGAGCTTACATTTTGTGCTGCACTAAGCAGTGGGATGAGGGATATGGCAGAAGAAACCTTCAGGGAGCCTTCTGGTTTTGGTAGTGGTAGGACAGGAGCTTGGATTTATCATCCCACCAAGAACACCCACAGTGGGGGAGAAGTCATTCTGCAAAAAGAAATGAGGGTGCTGTTAAGAATGGACAAGTAGGTGGGGGAAAATCCCCCATTTGCCCACTACACACAATACAGGACTGAATGTATTTTGTTTGAATGAATTGCTCATTCAGTAACATACTTCTTCAATGAGAGTGCAACCATGCTTGGAAGAGGAGTCCCCCCCCCCCCACACCTCATTCATGTATTCACTTGTTTTTTAAAGGCTAGGGTATATCAGGACATGTTGAGAAAGCTGAAGAGTTCAAAATAAGCATCCCAGGATGATGGAGAAGGGTGCTGTTATAAACGGTGCTTTTAAGAGATCTTGGGTACGCAGGTTGACCTTACTCTGAGGAAAATCGATATATGAAAATGAGCTTGGTGGTCTATGGTGTTGCCCCATCTCTCCAGAAGACTTCACAACTCATTATATTCTTGGAGTGCCTGGGAGGCTCAGTTGGTTAGGCATCTGCCTTCGGCTCAGGTCGTGATTGCAGGGTCCTGGGATCCCAGAGTCCCGCATTGGACTCTGCTCAGTGGGGAGTCTGCTTCTCCCTCTCCCTCTGCCCCCCCTTCAAATAAATAAATAAAAATTTTTAAAAAAACAACTCACTGTATTCTTCTGTGAAGCTGCTTCACCGTACTGCTTTCTAAAAGTTCCCCCACATATCTGAAAATATATTTTGAACCCAACTTCTAGGACCCTTCAGCTCTGATTATGGAGGGCTGGGTTGTCTGGGAAGGAAGTGAGAAGGAGTGCAGCTTACATTCTCCAGCTCACCATACTATTGGCAGGATAGTAACAAAGTGAGGCTCATAGAAAAGGGGGAGGCATATGGCACTCAGGGCCCTGCATTGGAAGACTCTGGTGTGAGTATAAAAAAAAGAACCAGAAGACATGAGTAAGTGGTAACTTCAAATATTGAAAAAAATTCATCTCATCTAAATATATAAGAAAACTACAGATGTTTCCTTAACATATGCAGTCCTATGCAAATGATTATGTAAATTAACCAAAAAGTTGGAACTGGCAAATTCCCAAGTTTCCAAGATTTTTCTTATGTTAACCTAGTATTCATCATAGAAACAAGGTTGAGAATTTTTGCTTACATCCCATAGCACTTAGATGTGGGGGGAGGCAAGACTGAAGGATATGTTACATTAACGGGGTGAAGGCACTCATATCGGGACATGCTGGATAGATGGTTAGATGGATGGATGGTTGGATAGATGTAAGGGTAGATGGATAGATAGATAGATAGATGATAGTTTTTCCCTTCAAAATGTTAGTCAGCTCATCCATCATGCTTGGTTGTGGGCAGCAAGGGGACTAGAAATGGAAATGAATCTGAGTTGCGGTG